AAATTCGAATTAAAAAGATAAGGATGTTCTATTGAATAGAATGCTGAAAATCTAACGTAGTCTGTGAGAAGATTTTCGAAATAATCTAGTGAACGTCTGAAATGTACCGAGAACAAAGTCAGATTTGTATTAAGTATTCACGTGACACGGTAGATTGAAGATCTTAACATATTGGACAACTTAGTAAAAAATTCAGTTCATTGATCGGGAGTTTCTCTGAATATTTGAAAGAATTCATTTTATAATTAAACAGAAACGTCGGTGAAACACGGATATACATATATTGCCCCGAACAAGGCAAGTGAATATATAATATACTCGATTTTACGCAGTTCCGATTCTATTTCAAGGGGATCTCATATTGCAATATTTTATGGTGTACAAACGGCGGAGTATTGACATTTCGTGCTGTGCGCCACTACTGGCTAAATATAGTTGCACTATTGAGTAAAGAGAGTGCCGCTCGTACTCACTGGCTGTTCCTTTTTCTTCTTCTTTTTTTTTTAATTGATCGCTACTTCTATAATGTCAGTCATCGCCTATTTCCATTACAGAAAACCTTCTAAACATTGTTCCAATTGTTCACTTTAATTAAAGCCCTTGATAAAAAATAGGACTAGAAAATATCGAAAACACGAATTTCCTTAAAACGTTCCTCTTACTGCACAAAAAGGATTGATCGTTCAGTCTCAAAAATATCACACGTCTATGATTACGAAGCAATAAAATGACTTCGATTTAGCATACACGAGTGTATTGAACACGTTCCGATCGTCACGAATCCATACAAGTCCCCGTGAATGTTGAAACGACTGAAAAACGATCAACGAACGGTTTGTAGCAAGCTTCTAAATTTACCGTAAATTCGCCATCCCTCGAAACACACCATCGACCCTCTCGGTTTATCAGTCGTGTGCATAGCGACGTGACCTTAATGGAGCCCCTGGAAACGCAGCTGCACCGGCCGACCACTAATTTGAGGTCTTTGTTAACGCGAGCGAGAAGCCCCCACCGTGCGTTGAGTGGTTCCTCTGAAACGGAATGAAAATCGACCTTCCGGGGAGGAAGCTGAAATCCCGTCCAACGGCGGAAGGGTTGGCAGGGATGAATCTGGGTCTGGGATGCTTGCGGGGCTGGACCGCCCGTGGATACGGTCCAGCAACGATCATGTATTCGCTGAACCGTTCCAAGTAGTCTCGAGTTTTCATGAAAATCTTAATTAGGAGCATCGAGTTTTTCCCTTCCTCCTGTGCCACCCTCTCTTTTTCTTCTTTTTGAATCCCTCGAAAAATCCACCAATTCGTTGGAATATCACGACGTGGATTAATTAACCATTATCGATTTTTAAACAACAAACTTTGATGTCAAATGTTATAAAAAATGTAAGTTGAAATTCTGATCAGATTTAATTATAATGATGGAGCACATCCGAAATTTGTGTTAAAATGATATATTATATATTAAATTTTCTAATAGATTTTATAAAAAATATAAGTCAATATTTAGTTCAGACATTGAATTTCATTATAAATCTTGGACTAGATACTAGCCTTCTTTAGTTGTATATTGGACAGTCGAATGTTTGGAACCATTTCTAGATTTTGTGTTAAAATCACACCCTATATTAAAGTTTCTATATTAAAGTAATTTCTCCTAATGAATGTAATTCATTACTATTCAAACTACTTCGGTGTACCAACCAAAAAGTTTATTCCCGCAATAATCTGAGACAATTAATCGTTTTATTTCATATCGAGCTATATAAATATTTACTCCCTTGGTAGATTGTTTAAAACCACGAACTTGCATATATATCCTCGATCTATTTGTATTATTCGCAATTAATTTCGAGGTACTCGTAACACCGAAATGCAGCAAAAGCGTCGGGACGCCTGAAATCTGTGACTGATTTCCACGTTGATTTTCATCTAAGCAGCTTCTGCCATTCGTAGAGTTCTCCGGGACAACGACACGTGTTCTCTCATCACTTTCATGGTTCTCGTTGGATGATACGAGAGATATACATACTTCCGGTTTTGCGTAGGCAGCCCCGAACGGTCGAACTTCAATGGAGACCTTAATTAACGCGATAATTTCACCCGTTTGCGCTTACTGTCACTCTTCATTGCGTTCTATCATGCACAGAGGGGTTGTGTGATAGAATACGCATACCTGTATTTGCGGAACTCAGTCACTCGCGTGGAAATAGCTCAATGGCGTGTAATTCCATGAAGCCTGGATACGTGTTAACTTGTTGACTGACGTAGGCACGAACATGGTGAAGACAGCCATTAACATACATTTATTTCCATATAATTTGTTTACCCATAAAATTCCAAATAACACACTAGGAAATACACAATTTATAAGGATCGTATTCATTCGTCAATCGTTAGTTTATACAAGTCATCGATTCAGTCACAGATTGAGTATAACTCCTTGAAATAAGAAATTCTGAAAACTGATGATGTTGGGAAGATCGATCATGAAACTGTGACTTGAAATTTATGAAGCAAGAAATATACATATACAGGTATAATAGGTTATCTGTGATGTAGGTGTTATGTGCTGTAAATTATATTAAGATAAATGGATTGAAAATATTAAGGTGGAGAATGTTACAGAAGATGCAGATGATCGGATCGACTGCGGAGAAGATCAATTACCATACGACGCGTGATAACTTGTAGAGTTGAAATGTGCAGAGCACCTTCTGAACCTTCATTTGTTCACACTATCTACTTGCAAATATAAGATTATATAAAATCAATAATTAACCACGACAACTGACATTATATACTGTATTCAAAATATACAGAATAGTTTCTCCAAATCGAAAATTCTAAGTTTTCCAAATAAATAACAAAAACCTTGTTTTATTACTGAGCGTTAAAAAAAAAAGAGTAGATCCAACTGTGTATGAACTAAATACGTGAAACCCAAAACACGAAGGTAATTTCATTGATAAAACTGCGTACACTTTATTGGTCCCAGGCGCCCAATATCAACAAACTACTTTCCCCGTCAAAGCCGTTAAAATCACGTCGAGCCGGCGGCGGCGCACAGTTGATCGAGCAGCCGGTAAAACGAGGTTCCGTTCACAAATTGTTTCGTGTTCCCCGTCAACGCGAGAATTGTACCTCGTGACAGAGTAATGCCCACGGGAACTCGATTCCGCTGCCTCGTGATTAACTGCCACGGCTTTCGGAGCTCTCCGTCTGGAATGCATTTCATGTTTTCCCCGGTTCGTTACAGTTTTCCATGGAGCCGCTCGTAACGTGATCATACGATAAATCAAACGATCCGTTGCGAGCCCTTGACCTCGGCTCCTCCGATATTTTTGCGGAGTGTCCGTACAAAAACCACAGATATTTAACGAAACAAGTATGTATAGAAAAACAGACCACAGGTATCAGGTGTACCAATAATTAATCTACTACTTTTTTTTATAATCAAGCAGTGTTATGTTTTAAATTGCGAATATGTTATCGAGATTTCGGACATTTAAACAAGTACATTTGTGAGAAACAGTCAGACCCTGACGTAGGATAATATTGTGAGCATACTATTAAACTTTAGGAATAAGTGATTAATTACTAATAGTGTGTATAGTTTTATAATTCTATGCAAGTTGAAGCAAAAAAAGGATTGACAATTTCTGGGGTAGATGGTACTTGCCAAATGATGAGAAAAAGTCCAAATCAACATCAGTCGAAGAATTAATGTTTTCAAAGTTATAAGCAGTTTTTTGTTTCGGTTAAAGCAAGTGACTTTCTCGGTTCGGGAGTTCTCGTACCGTATGGAAACAATGAAGAAAATTGTAAAAAAAAAAAACTAATAGTAATTGTAGAAAACCTTCTGTAACCAAGAAAGGAAGAGTCGAAACAAAAAATTGCTTATAACTTTGAAAATATGAATTTTTCAACCCATGTTTATTCAGACTTTTTTTCGTCATTTGGCAAGTATGTACTATCTACCCCAGAAATTATCAACCCTTTCTTTATTTCACCCTGTATAATTCACATAGAGAGATTAAAATGCTGATCATTACAATTGTTAATTTTACTTCTTATTACTAATTTATCATTAACCAATTAACAGAATTAGAACCGTCATATTTCGTCGTTGTTCCACTTTATCGTACGTTGCTCGAATAAGGATTAATCAGAGAGTCCAGTAATAATTAATCAACACCCTCAAAAGACAGATCCGCAAATATTTCATTACAACCGGTCTCGCAGCTTGGTGCCGATAACGGCGGCGGCTCTTTAAAGTTATTTTAACGGTTGTACGTCTCGTCTTTTCCGTGCGCACAGTGACTTTAATTAAAGCACTGTGAGAAGTGGAGCAATTAATGGCCGGCGACATAGTTCAAGAACTCGATACTACGCAAGCCCGTAATGAAAAAACTTTATCTCCCCCCTCCCAGCCCTTGGGGGGTTGAGAGAAAGGGAGGAAACAACGACCGGCAAAAATCGCGTCTATCGTCTGTAATAATGAATGGTCTGTTCTTGTGATCGTGATTATAGATAGGTTGAAAATTGTTTGGGTTTATGGGAAGGAGTCCATCATTTGCTTCGATTTTTCGATGAAGACTTCGATATTTGATGTTATGCCGCTGTGCTTCATTTTTGAAGCAGTCTGTTATGTAAAAACTGTTACAAACCAGACCACTTAAGCTCCCTCGTTCAATTTTGTAATTGAACTATCCATCAAAGGCTTCTGCGCCCTTTTACGATATTACTTCACTTTTATTGATTGTTGAGTAAATGAAGACCTTTCACGCTTCGAATATTTTAATAGAAATTTAGTTTAATAGAATCTTTTTTCTTTTTTTGTAAAATATTAAAACTTACGATATCTTTTCCTTAGAGAACAAACAGACCGGACGTAGTACTCATTTTAATTGTAAAATGAAAATTACTACAGTTAAGAAATTTTAATTAGATCATGGTGATTATTTTAATGACGGGGTGTTTTCTTGTATTGTCTTTTTCCAGAGAGGTGCGCACAGTCGTGCTCAACAAAGGCTCGTCCGGACTGGGTTTCAATATCGTCGGCGGCGAAGATGGCGAGGGAATTTTCATTTCCTTCATCCTAGCCGGGGGTCCGGCCGATCTTAGCGGGGAGCTGCGTCGCGGTGATCAAATACTCAGTGTCAATGGCATTAATCTTCGGACAGCTACCCATGAAGAGGCCGCCGCAGCCCTTAAGGTACGGTGAAATTACCATTTTACCTGTACCTTATTTTTCCTCTTCTTTCTGTACTTCTGGTGCAAGCTCCTTCCTGGAACAGTTTCAAATTAAGAGGCTACGAAACGTCTCCACTTGTAAATTTTAAGTTTAAATAGACTCGCTTGAATTGGTTAAACGCAAGTTATTTCTACAAACGATAGATCGAATCAAACGAAGAATTTTAAATAAGAATTTTTTAATGAAACGTTATCTTTTTTATTTAGGATTCGATCTTTACATGTAATATTACGTTCTACTTTGTAATAATAAAAATTGAATAGAAGATTACAGGAACTTTTAAGTGATTACGAGAACAATTTTCATACTCCTTTTAGTGTAAAATTTGTACGATCATTTGGACGAAACTTTGATTTTTCTAATGAAATCATTAGAAGCTTCACGGAAGTAAGTCTAACCTTCAAACAGTGATTAATGTGAATATGTGTCTGTTCAGGGTACCGGTCAGACAGTGACGATCGTGGTACAATACAAGCCCGAAGATTACAACCGATTCGAGGCTAAGATCCATGATCTTAAACAACAGATCTCCCAGCAGAATATGATGACAGGCACCCTCATGAGGACCTCACAGAAGAAATCACTTTACGTCAGGTGAGTGACACCCATAAACCCCGTCACCTTCTACCAAATATCTCCACTAGTCTTTGAATAATGAACACAAAAACAAATCTAATAAAATTCCTGGTCAGTCTGGATATGCAAAATACACGTATCCCAACGAAACATCCTCTACAAGTTATATAACAGTTAACTTCGTGTAAACAGTAATCAATCGGTTATTTCAGGGAACTTACCTCGTGATACCTTTCGTCTTTTGCACGTCCTTTCGAATTTTATTAGATTCTTCTTTACCCTTCGATCATTACTGAAATAAAAAATTAAACCTGACCGACCAAAACTCGTAAACTCGAACCTAGTAACGATTCACAGTCTTAGAAGCCTCGTTGGGTATAACTGGAATAATCTTAATAACAAAATACCGTTTCCCGTTGTTGCGTTCGCAGAGCGTTGTTCGACTACGATCCAAACAAGGACGACGGTCTGCCGAGCCGCGGTCTGGCATTCCGTTACGGTGAAATCCTGCACGTGACGAATGCTAGTGACGACGAATGGTGGCAGGCTAGAAGAGTGAATCCTCAGGGGGAGGAGGAGGGCCTTGGTATAATACCGTCGCGCAGACGATGGGAACGGAAGCAACGCGCCAGGGATCGTTCTGTCAAGTTCCAAGGTCACATGCCGGTCATCCTCGACAAGGTGAGCATTACCTACCTATCGATCCATCGTTCGAGAAGTTATGCGGAAACTCGTGGCGGGTGTTCGGTTACCGAATGTCTGCATACCGTGTGTCTTTGAATGAATTCCCTAGGAAAATTAAAATTCGATAGTTATAATTGGTGGTCAAAAGTACCGTGGCAAATATTATACAAATTTACATAAGAAGATTTCTTATGGAGATTGAAGTTCGGTAGCTGTAATCGATAAGTTACGTGTACCGTGGAAAATATATCTACAGGGTGTTCTACATAACGTGAACACCTTCGATATCTCACTTGTTTTTGAAGATATGTAGAAAAAAATGTGAGGGGACAATGTTATTTTATTTATTTAAGAATGTATACGGGCATATCCCTGTTGTACAATAATTACAATACAATGTAACGAACTTCGTGCACAGTTGTTTAGTTGGAAGGGGTAAATACTGTGATCAGCAGAAAAATTTTCTTAAGGTCATATTTTTCGAATTTTCTAGGTTCTCGATATTTTTTTAAATAACACTACATATTTTTATTAGCGTGGTGTAATAGTTGAGGTAAAGACCAATCCAACGACCTATAGTAGTGCGACCTTCGTTTCACCTCGAGTACAAAAAATCCAGAAATGTAAGAGAGTAGATTTAAATAATAAAGCAACTACGGTAGAGAGATTAGTGTAAAGATGCTTCGAAGTTGTTTCTCGTTTGTTAAAATAATTTTTTGGAAAATCAAAAGTAAATGAGATATTTAAGGTTCTCACGTTAGGCAGGACAGCCTGTACACAATGTATATAAACAATTCCCTATGAAAATTGAAATATCTTTAATGCACCCGTACATATCTTCCACAGCACTTGTATACCGATAATTAAGCTTTTATAAACGTTTGTCGACTGTATCTCAATTTCCTCTGACGTACCCAAAATCCCCCCAATTTAGAAATTTTACGTCCGATGGCTCCGATCACTCTAACTCACCAATTAATGGGATTGGGAACCAATGTTATAACTGATTCTATTGTGTCTTAAAGACGACTGATGGATTACAGCAATCGACGCTGGACAGGAAAAAGAAGAACTTCTCGTTCAGCCGAAAGTTCCCGTTCATGAAGAGCAAGGACGACAAATCGGAGGATGGTTCGGACCAGGAACGTGAGTGTCTCGAAACACGGTCGATCCGTATATTGCACGTTCTGTGCATGTTCAGACCCCGTTATATCTATTGTGGTTTTTCGTGGTATACTTATTTTTTTTTTTTTTATAAATTTGTTTTTCTGAAATTCTCGTCGTATTACTCCAGCCATAATTACGTATATCTATCTACATATATCTTAGACCCGTGTGTTTGATACTTACGATTAAGCATTCTTTCACGTGTGTATTGCAACCCCTTTTTTTCTTATTGACAAAACAGTAATCGTGTAACTAAGATCGTCTTAAATGGCTACCTTACTTTTATTCGGTGTCTTTTTTTTTTTGTTTGTTTAGAATATCATAACATTTCAGTAGTTTCGTTTTTCCGATCTTAAACCCCGCGTTTGTAATAAACGGTATCGCAAGTTCCGATCAGCCTGTTAGTTATCCGTGACAGGTGTACGACGATATACGTCCAACCTCCGATTGAGCTTTTGTGACTTTTTTTTGTTCACCTGGTGCAAAACGTGACATGTGTTTTGTTTTTGCCTGCTTGTGTAGGGTCGCCCACGACACCCGAGAACGAAAACGATCCTACACGTAAGTATTCCAAAGTTGATCAACGACCGAAGTATAATGACCGAATCATACACGATCTACACACGACACACGCGCAAGCGCCCATCCACCCACACACACACACACATACATCTTCATTAATCATATAGAATAGCGGGAAAACAAAAGGAGTTCAAAACGGAAAGCAACAGAAACGATCAGACAGCGATCCCACACCATGAACGTTACACATCTCGAGAGGTCTTTTTTTTTTGTGTCTGTTCTCTTGCATTCTTCTGCGCTTCGCACGCTGCAATTCCATCCTTGCATCGAGAGCTCATGCATTTGTCTGGTATTCGATCTAACGCAGCGACCATGCACGGTACACACACGTTCACTCGAACTGCTTTTCTCAACTAACCCAGTCTCTCTCTGTGGGTAGTCGTAGAAATTTATAGATCGCCTCCCTGTAGCCATCCTGCACGTATAGTTCACGGTGGACGAAAACCACCAAGTTTGCAACAACTTTTTTTTGCAAAAACATATCATGATTCTGATTGAATCCTTTCGCGTCGTCGATCGCCCGATTCCGACGACTCGATGATATCTACTTGCGATCGGTTCGTCGAGGACGTTTTAACCGCGAGATTCGTGCTCGGAACTTTCGTCCTCGAGACACTCGAGACGCGTCGTCGACGAGTCACCGTCGATGATGACGTTCAACAACGAGACCGATTTGCTACATAGAGGAAAGTAGGAAATTTGCTTTTAGAGTTCCCGTCGCTTTTGACGCGCGTCGTGGAAGCATGATTACCCTAGGAACACGACATCTTTCGTCGAATCGCGAGTCTGAGACACTTTTCAACGATTAACCCGTTGACTGTAGGACACTTCCATTGTTACGAGCCGCGTAATGATCGGTTATTGTGTAATATTAACGAATACAATGGATTGAAGTAGTAGGAAGAGCTATTTGTACGAAGATTTTTGAAGACATAAATCGTCGCTGGAGTTCTTAACTGTTCTAACTCCAGATTTTCAAGAAAATTTAGTTAATCTATCCACGTGCGACTCATTGGTCCAAAGAATACAAATTCACCATAATGTAGAGAAAATTCAACCTAGAAAACAATCAAATATTCTTTTAAGTCCTAACTTCGGAGTTTAAAATGTAAAGTTTGAAAATGAAAGTTTTTTTTTTTTCTTAATGGATGTATCTCCAAATACTAACAAAAATTAAACATTTGTGTTAATAATAAGATACAATTTAGTTAAATACTATAATAAATAGCTATTGAGTAGATGATATTATAGTGTGTTTGATTATTTCACTATTTTCCAGCTTCTATAATATTAAATTTCGTAAACTTTAAACTCAGTGTTCTCAGTTTAGAAACTAGTGGAGATGCAACAATTAAAAACTAGAGCGACGAAATAGTATCAAAAAGAGATACGAGTAGTTACAAAATTCATTTACAAAATGTGTCTTGACTTTAGTCTTTCTAATAATCAATTTATTTAAAAATTCGGAATTATCTTTCGTTCGAGAACTGTACTAACCCTCGAATGGTAAGGTGGGTGTTAAGATTGTACTTGGTAAGGTAGGGTTGGATACAATCCGAGCTCCTTTCTGCTATTTTCAGACAGGTAAAAGAAATTATTACTTTGAACTTCTATTTTTTTTTATTCATATAATAAGGAATAATAATTGAGTTGTATAACATGTAATAATACAAATATAAAAGTTTGTTGTATGATAAAAAAATAATAAATAGAGTGGGAACGGTACAAGAAGAACCATAACTTTTGTCGGATTGGTCCTGGGCCTTACCATTGGAGGGTTAAACAACATTTCTTCATCGCTGAATGATGCTTGTATCGAGGGACTTGGAGCTAATCCTAATTCATCCCTGATTTTTTAACAGAACGAATGATTTCGTACACTGCAATTTTTTGCTCATTCTATAAACTCTCGACCTCTCTAGTATCCGTATACAAAACTGAAAACCAGTTCACTGTTGTTCGTGACATCCAACCAACAGTCAACGCGTTAACGTTCCGCGTGGATCACGAAATAATAGATCGCGTTGCAACATCTCGATACCCAAGCAATTACGCAAAAAGGAAACGACTCTAAAGGAACAACGTGTACAAAACATGTAACGAACTGCTCGCGTGCTCATCGCATCACGGATACAGACGAGCATCCGCTAGCTATCGTCACGGACCATCCAGATTCGAAAAAGAATCGGACGTATACATATATCCTCGACGGTAGGAGGATGGTGTTTTCGTGCTTTATCGCTTAATTAATCCTAGCAACTTATTAACCGGCCGCTTATTAGTACGCAACGTATACTGAAATATTGAACTTGTTATGTTTTAGCATTCATGCTGTGCTACACCCAGGACGACACTAACACCGAAGGTAATCACATCTCTGTCTCTGTCTCTCTCTATCTACATTTTCAAATGTCTCTCTTTCTTTCTCTCACAGCCTCCCTCATGTATACCACCCTCTGCCGTCTTTTCTGTCCGCCTTTCATTTCGATTCTCCACAAATGCAATTCCCCGTGCCCGAACCTTCGCCGGTTTCGTCGCGGTCGGTGTGTATCAATTAACGAGGCACACGTTCGTTACCGCGATAATAACGATCCGACAGAACGAGCGTCATTGTTGGCCAGGACCTTTTGTTTCCGTTGTCACTTTTGTTGGAGCATCGTCGGTTTCGCCGTTATTGTCGATTCGCGAACCTGGAAACTTTGCGTTCGATCGTTCGCGCGCTAGTTACGTCGTCGCCGGTTGAGTTCGTGTGATAGAACTCATGCTTGTTCGAATCGTCGAAAATTACGGTATACGCTAGATCGATGAATATGAAATATCGTTTTGAATGATATTAGGTTGTACCTTTGAATTGTCGAGTCAGTCACGATTGGTGAACTCGATGCAACCGATATCGTGTGTTGTGTTGGTTAAAAGTTGCAATGGTATTTTACAGTAAATCTTCGATGAGTGTTCGAAGGTTCCTTGGCACTGACAAGGATAGGTCCCCATGTGTAACGCTGACTTTTCAATGATGTTTGGCACAGTCATAGAACTTGGAATTCTGAAGCTAATGATATTTATTTCGGTCATCAATGGCCATTAGTTTCTGAAATATTCAATGTTCAGTACCGAGGAGACTTCGAACACTCATCGAGGATATACTGTACTGCTCGAATTTTTGTAATTGACCGTTTTGTCTTGGAGATTCTTACGATATGAAGGTAGTAAATTGCATGAGTTATGGTCTCATTAAGATAAAGCCACTAATACTAATAGGTGCACATTTCGATCGAATACAAATTATTATTTCGAAGGTATATTAATTTTTATTTCGATCCATAGAAACCGGAAATTTCACATGGTACAGCCTAATGCGGTGAATCTTAATATTCTGTTATGCGAACGAAAATCCGTCAGTTTTCCATAAAAATCACGCTTCTTCGATACTAACGTGTGTATTCGTAGTCACGAAATTTCATCTGCAATATGTCATCGTGCGTATCGTGTCATCACTCTCGTCCCCCGCTTTCATTTACGCCGCGCTTTTTTTTTTATTATTCCATCTGTGCGATTCACAACGAGCTCTGTCTTGGGTCGCAGGAAGTAGAGAAATTTTGTATCGTGTTGAACTGCCTTATATGGAGGAACTGACGTTAGTTTATCTGGAAAAGGAAGATGATGAGAATGATGAAGAGCTTAGTAAGTGACAATCGAAAGGAGTAAATGTGTGAACCGGAGTGAGATACTTAGGTCCCGACTAACAAGAAACGAACGTGATTTCGATCGATCTTCTTTGATCGACGTTCATTTTTGTTTACCGTTTTTATTTTTGTTACTTTCCCTCACTTCCGTCCACTGATCAAACGAGCACTAACAAAACGCCGAGAACGCTTCGCGCATTTTGAACAGTCGCGACACGTGCTTTTGCCTGTCTGTTGTCTGTCGTTTGATTTTTGTAAATTAATTACCCTTCCATAGGTATCTAACAAGACCAGCGAATAATAATTCCGGATAGAGATTTAGCGTGATCGTCGCTTCTTGTTGCTAAATTAAGCCCTGACTGCGTGCCATCTAGTACATAGTAGAAACGTTGCTGTACATAAATATGTTCTTCGAGAGTACAATAACGCTCGGATAATTGTTCCACGTTTTTAGTTCTGTAATGGGAAAATATGTACAGTATTTGTGGTAATGAATATCTCTAGAGAATACCTGTAGAGTTGTACAGTTAACTTAACAGAATTATTGTGCTTAAAGATGTATAATAAATACTTCTATTAGTGTTACTAGATATTTGAAAGTGGTGATTCATTGTAATATTAATATTGATACTAGTAAGAATTGGAAATATTTTTTGGAAGTTTTAAAATAGTGAAATATAATCGGAATAGTCGGCTGAGGAAATGATTGAAGAATGTAAAGTTGTACCTTAAGAGGTAATAAATACGGCAGGAAATATTCATTTGAACAGAAAGAAATAATTTTCCTATAGTAATTAACTAAACTAGCCTATATTTAGTCTGTCAAACAATATTTATTCTTTCATTTCTCTGAATTTTCAATTATATTGTAAAAGAACGTTGAAATAAAGTTTTTCCTCGAAAAGTAAATCGTCGTAAAAAGGGTCGCTAAAATTTTTGTATCAGCAATAAGAATCGACGTCTAGGTGAGAATACTAAAATCACCAGCACCGTCGCGTAGTTGCGTCGGGTATCGATTACAAAAGCCAACCCTTCCGGCTCCAAGTGTATTAGCATAGTCGCCTCGTACTAATGCCGAATCGACCTTGATATCCTTCGATCACCGAAGTTGTAGACTCTAGGGAGCTTACCATTTCTTCCTTCCTCGCTTTGATCTCCCAAGCGCCGAAGCATGTATCATGGCTCGTGTCCCGTGTGAAATTATGTCCAATACCTTAACCGAATACCACTGCTCGTTCAAACCGAGTATCGTTTTAGTCAGCAGTTTTTTTGAGATTGACTAATTTGTTCGACTGTTTTTTTTCCTCTCTCGTCGATAACACAAACATGACCACTTCGGAAAAGATACTTTGTAGCGTGATACCACTTAGAAGATCAATGTTAATATTGGTATGGAATTAATAAAATATGTTTTTAGAAGCAAAAGTACTATGTCTAATGTAGAACTTTAGTATTATACAGAATTGTTAAATTTTTATTGCATTTCGACTATAGTTATATTTCAATTCCTGTTTATTATTCTATAGAATACTTGTCTAGTAATACACACACTGGGAGAATTGCCTTTGAGCACGAAACTGACTTTTTCTCAAGTATTGTGTCTTCAAACTCGTATAGTAATTGGTCTAATAACCCAAAGCCGGGGAGAATGGTTCTAAGCATTAAATTGATGTTAATTCGTGAAATATTGTTTACTGATAAAGAATTGAGAATGACTTAGAATACCTAGCAATACTGAAAATCCAATCGATTTCCTTTGATAATTTAAAAAATTCCCCAATTACAAACCAATTCGAACGACATATCTGCATACCATAGTTCCTATCATTAAAGAAAGACAAGGGTTAATGACAGAAGATGGGAAGTAAAGTGGTTCCAAGACACGAAACTATAAAGTATCTCGATCGAAATGGTCTATCGGGTTCCCGTTTTTCTTCTCGACCGAAAAGTTTGCCCCTCTGTTTTGAAGAGTGTAAACGTTCTAACCGAGGACATACATGGCTTTCAACCACGTTGTTTTCCGCCACGGGTATGCCGGAGTACTTATACTGAAAATTGCAGGCAGCGAAGAGAACGTGCTGTCGTACGAGGCTGTCCAGCAGCTCACCATACAGTACACTCGACCCGTCATTATCCTCGGTCCTCTGAAGGATCGCATCAACGACGACCTCATCTCGGAATTCCCCGACAAATTCGGCAGCTGTGTGCCACGTGAGTGAAAGCATTTTTAATACGGTCGTTCAGCTTAACGACGCGTCGTGTGACGCGTTACGGACGAATCCCAAGATTTTCCAGGATTTTCCGAACTTTCGTAACAGTCCTCAAGAGACATCACGATCTCATATATATTTTACCACATGGTAATCAGAAATTCGTATATTTTACCCTTGATCATGGCACGCGATATGAAAAGTTCTATGAATCTCGGTCAATTGAAGACGAAATCGAATCAATTTTAACTACATCGACTGGAAGTAGGAAACTTAATAATAAGACAGTACTTCGATAGAAATTATTAGAACGCAATTATTATGATATTTTTATTACCTTTATTTCATTGATACTCCTGTCATCTAGGTTCGTTCTACTTTAACGCAAAAAGCTAGTCTGTGCGTATAATATCGCTAAAGAAACCTGTTCCTAGGAAATTAACTATCAGTTACAGAAAGATATTAGTATCCTATTAATATGTACATTCAAAAAGTGAATTTTTTCGAATTCTTCCAACTTAAACATTTTTTAGATACAACGAGGAGTAGAAGAGAATACGAAGTGGACGGACGGGATTACCACTTTGTGGCGTCGAGGGAGCAGATGGAGAGAGATATTCAGAACCACTTGTTCATAGAGGCGGGACAGTACAATGACAATCTTTATGGAACCTCAGTGGCGTCCGTTCGAGAAGTCGCCGAAAAGGTAACGGAAGGGAAAGCCTTTTATATTAATTTTACATCGATAATCTTCCCTTAAATTAAACAAAAATAACAATACACTAAACGTATCATCACTATCTACATAAATATCTATAAATATTCCAGGGAAAGCACTGTATCCTTGACGTGAGTGGAAACGCCATCAAGAGGTTACAGGTGGCGCAGCTGTATCCCATCGCCATCTTCATTAAACCGAAATCCGTAGAATCGGTTATGTATGTAGAATCTTTTTACTTGCATATCTTATTCAATTCTTCCATGACAATTCATTAGTTACAACAATACCGCTATTTATAATTCCAGGGAAATGAACAAGAGAATGACCGAGGAACAAGCGAAAAAGACGTACGAACGAGCATTGAAGATGGAGCAAGAATTCGGGGAGTACTTCACCGGTAAAAATCAATTTATCTAATTGTGTTCCTTAGTCCCAAAACATTTATTATCTGTCTCGTGACTGTGAACCCATACATAGATTTCGACGAAACGTTTACTGTGCTCCGAAGATTATTCTGATGAACGAAATTCCAAAATTGCTGCCCCCCACACCCCCAACAGCTCTTTAACACAAAGTTAAAGTAGTTTAATACAGAGTGGCCCACCTAACGTGAGCACGTTTTGAATCTCACTTGCTTCTGATTTGCGGAAAATTAATTTTAAAAAATGCTCCAAGTGATGTCCATCAACTTCCATACATTTGTCGATTCTTCGTACTCAATGTCACATGAAGTGTGAGAGAAGAAAAATATGTAGTTTCGTTTAAAAAAACATCGATGACCTTAAAAGTTCGAAAAATATGACCTTGAGAAAACTTTTTGCTTATTATAGTATTTGCTCCTTTTAACCAAATAATACTTTCCCCTCACATTTTTTTTGTATCCTAAGAAACAAGTGAGATATTGAAGGGGCTCGAATTGGGTGGAACATCCTGTATAGAACCGATATCGCGTGTATCAAAAGTCAAAAGGTGTAATCCCAGCGTGTATTCTACCATAGAAGGTATCTACATAATCGAAATTCTACGGGCGTCGCGGAAGTACATTTGGACCTGAATGGATTATTCGTCGCGTTTGGCTGAATACTATAAATCACTTTCTTTCTCCGTTACAGCCGTAGTACAAGGTGACACTCCCGAGGAGATCTACGTGAAAGTAAAGGAAGTGATCTCCGAGCAATCGGGGCCGAACATTTGGGTACCGTGCAGGGACCAGCAACTGTGACGTCCTGCCCCCCACGCTCAGCCCGGCCCGAACGCTTGGACTCTACCTCCGAGGCGTCAAGCTTAATTACTCTTAATAAAATAATCAAGTAACACTCTAACGCCCCCCTATCCCGTCCCTTGATCCCACTCCCACACACCCACCCATTCAAGTAATCCAGTGTCCCAAATCAAACCGTTAACCGCCACGAGGCTCGTCGTAGAACTTCAAGGCGTCGCCGTTGACAAAAGTTTCCACGGGTCTGGAGAGCCCAAAAGACGAAATCGGAAACAGTTACGATGGATCGAAATATTTGTTTCTCGAGACGTGTTCAAAACTTGTTCGCGAGTCACGTGACCGGGGGTAAACACCCACCTACAGCGTTCGCTGCGATTAAAGAGAATATACTCCGAATTAACACGCGAACGTTGACGATCGTTAATCGCGTGTTTCGAAGCGATACATCCGTTGGCCCGTTTCCACGAGCAATCGATAGATGGAGAAAGAGCGAGAGATAGGGAGAGAGAGAAAGAGCTATCGTCTCCGGCGCAAGAGTATATAAGGTGTTAATTAAAATCCCTCCGCGTGCGCGCGCACAAATGGAGGGTTCGTGTTATAGTGTTAAATACCAGAAGTGTTTCGTTGTACCACGATGTTTTTCATGTATCCAACGGGTTTGTCGACCGAGAGGACAAGGAGACCAACCGACCCGTAACCCGTCTCCGCGATGATTTTATTACGGAATTCAACGACGCGAATACACGCCGGCGATCGAGCCCTCCCTCCTCTATTCCCCCCCCCCCCCCCCCCCCTCCCCACATTCCCTCGTGACGAACAATAGAACGTGTTACTCGTGCTTCATAATTTATAACGCGCGCGTTCTCCCCTCTCCCCCCCTCTTTTGCATCGTGTATCCGAACGAAGATAAGCAAGAAAAACGAAAATGTAATAGAATGGCGGAAGCCGTCGTGTATTCGTCTCGAAAGATATCAATTTTAACGCGTACGGACCACTCGAAGATTTGTAAACAATCGAGGAATGACTCGCGTCGTGGTTCATTCACGAACGATCGACGCGTTGTTTGCAAGTATAGTCAGAGGAGAATCGCGCTTGGAAACGGCGAGACAGAAATTACCGAGGTCGAAGTCGAGAAACTTGACCGTGAGAGAGAGAGGTGTAGAGAAATTGTCACGGACCACGGATTCCCGTCGCGATCGTTCGCATGATGCGCACAGCACCGCTAGACGCTTTCAGACAGACTTTACTCCCACGCACGAATCGCGGCCGACGAACGGGAACGAGAGACACGATGTGAGAAGACGAAAATGGGGGGGGGGGGGGGGGGGGGGGGGGGGGGAGAGAAAGACACGAATCAATAAACTTGGCTTCACCGATCACACCTATAATAATAGCTTGTCCGGTTAATTCTGAGCGAAGTAGTGCGGTATTTTTTAATGTACTTAAATCGCGATATATGCGCGGCGAATGGAAAGAAAGATGATCGATATCGACGACCACTCGCGTCCCCCCGAATTCGTCATCGCTTTGTCGCACAGGACGAAGGGTAATTTAACCAATTGTAGGATGCACTAATAAACGTGACACGAAGGAAGGATATATGCGACAGTTTCTAATGCCAGACGGGGGATGAAGATGTGTGTGTTTGTGTGAATGCGCGCGTGTGTGTGTGTTTATATATATATATATATACGTGTTCTGGAAAACTGAAAGCGAGGAGGGAGGAACTGAAAACCCGGACGCATGTTAAAGAACCTCACGATTCATCAAACCTCACAGGACAAATCTCTAGATGCTAGAATAGCGGATATATAATGTTTTGTACAGCTAGATTACTAAGCCAGTACTGGGTTATGTGCAACATTATATATATATAAATATACATAAAAAAAATTATATATATATATAGAAAGAGATGAAGCGGCGAGGGGAGAAAGAATGAATTCTATTGTAATTTAAATACCACTACTAAATTATTATTACGATAGTAGGTATGTATTATTGTAAATACCTGTACCCGGGTAATCGAGATGCGGAATATGGCGGTTAGCATGAATCGAAGCGGCCGGAAAAGCAGCGAGTTGTCGTCGTCTCGAACGTGTTCGAAGCGCGGAAACGGAAGCCATAGGCACAGCGTGAGTTCTATATTTTTCAAATTCGAGCGTGGGGACGTTCACACTTTCGACCTTTGTTTTCGACGATTGGCCCGGTCACAGTTCGTATGAAAGCCGAATTAACGCGCGTGTCGAGAGGAAGAGACAAGGAGGGACCGGAAATGAAGCGTTGACACAGGGGATCGGAGAAGCACCATTGTGGCAGCTTGACGACGAAGAGAAAAGTACATATACCTCGGTTCTACCGGGATTGACGAAAACGTTTCGTACAGCAGATGATGGACACACTTCGCACGGACGATTGGAAGAATCTATTGGAATCGTATCAATTTCGAACATCGCGCGTTTACAGCGAGAATATTAATTCCCGTTACCTTGAAATTCGTATGGGACGGAACGGCAGATAATGCGTGAAATAATCAATCGTCGATCGTTGTGAACAGTACTGGCGAGTAAGAGGAATGAACGTGAATAGTTTGTAATCGTTTCCAGGGTGAGTGGGAAAATTGTTGGGGGGTTGGAAGCGAGACGTTGCGAGATGACGAGATCATGATGGTGATGATGATGGTTTGATCGTGATGGAAGTGTGTGTGTGTGTATCGTAATGGCCGCTCGCGTACCGATTTCTTTTGCCATTGTCCGCGGCGATTTCGTCGAATCGATCGAAACCTGCGATTACACCTCACCTTTTGATTGACCGAGCGAGAAGGGAATTTGCGTTTTCTTTTCGTTCCATAAAACGTATCGCGCGGCGAGATACCGATTAATCGGGTATATTTAGCATGGGTACGCTTTCTACGAGCTATTTTTCCTACGACAGAATCCTGTGTTTAGAGTCGTTAACGCAACAGCCGTCGCACGTATTATACGAGGGAAAGGAAGCGACGAAAGAGATGTATTAGTTCGTGAGGAGCCGAGAGAGAAACGGTGAATACCGCGCGTCGCCGTGATCCGCACAGGTCGTGCCTGAATAGAGAGAGAGAGAGAGAGAGAGAGAGAGAGAGAGAGAGAGAGAGAGAGAGAGAGAGAGAGATGGGTAGGCTTCGCCGAGTTAAAGGATACAAAAAAAAAATTTAAGAGAGAAAAATCGAAAAAAAAAGAGAAATAGAGGATGGTAACGACGAGGAGAAAGACGTCTGTCTCGATGTAAAGGAACGTATAAAGAGAATAATTACTACAGACACTTATTATACACCTCTATAGTCTATTTAATAATATTACTTATTGAATTGTCAATCTCATGTTCACCTTGTTTCATCGTTTTTAAATAGTTAATAAACGTTTTACCAATTTTAATCGTTGTCTTTTGTATTTCTTGTTTTCCGATGGTTTCTACGTCGATTATATTAATTTGTATTTTTATTAATTGATCTTTAATAACGAAAATTAAAAGATAACTTTACGTCCCATGTGAAATAATTATTTTATTTAACTGCTTCAGTATCGTAATATTTCAATTAGTATCGTAATATTACCTTTTTTTTTTAAATATTCAAATCGTGTTTCCGTACATTTGCAGGTTTAATTAGATAGTTACTTGTTTGTTCAAATATTGGATTTTTTCATGCGCTTATGTTACCACAGACAAGGTACAGTGAAGTCTAACTATATTGCCACTAAACATATTGCCACACGGGGCACTTTCCCTTCAGATACTTATTTTACTTAAATCCTACTTATCTATATGATTTTACAATATACTTGTAATGATATTTATATAAATTCAGAAAAAGTAGGCTTAGATATTATTCAGAATTATAAAATATTATAACTTATATGCCGCAAATAATTCCCTCCCCATGTAACTTGCAAATCTTCCGTACCGTCTTCGAAGCTTCATAAAGGTTTCATAAGTTTGACGCCGAAATTTTGATTACCGGTGACCTATTACGATAGACGTGTGTAATAATTTGCAGTAGTCCTCTGCCGGATTCAATCTGTTGTTATTACATGTGGATTACGGGACAATGAACGGTAGTGAAATGGCTTGCGTCAGTACACATTTGAAACGTGATCCTTTATCGCTGTTGCTCGTACGAGTCTCGAGCTTGATCTAATGTTGCTCGTGCAACTGTCGAAATCTGACTGACACTTGTTCGTGCTTCCGTGAGCAAATTGTATAGTAACCCTAGCAACCATGGCAGTTTCTGCAGATACTACTACAGCCCAAGTTTAAAAGACGTAGGCAGTAGTTAGTTTCTGTAGTAACGTGTTGAACCAGACAACTATAATTAGTATAGGATTGTACAATATTTATGCAGTTATATTTAAGACAATTCGATGAAATGAAGCTTATATTACCTGACGTATGTTTATTGGAATGTACATAATACATATAAATTATAATGATATAAAAGTTTGAAATACAATACGATGCGCTACGGTACAATACATCTATTCGATTCAATTGCTCCCTTGCGACTACAACATCATGCTATCCGCGTTCGGCGCAGTGCACTAATACGGAGGCCAACGAAATATCGCTGTAACACTTAGAAAAGATTTAAAGTTCCATTTATATCATTGTCCTGTGAAAATGTTCATACTTCCAGTAACATTCATATTCCAGTCAAAGAATTTACATAATAAGTAAAAGGAATCTAAGAACGTGGGGTCACAGAATCCCCGTAGGTGGCGCCAGTGACCCTGTGTGGTGAGAACGAGGGGTCACAAAACCCCCGCAGGCGGCGCCAGGACCCCATGTGGTGAAATCGCGGGGTCATAGAACCCCCGGTGGAGGTGCCAGGGACCCCGTGTCTGTGAGGAAATGGGATCATAGGACCCCCGGAGCATGCACAAGAGTTTTGAAACGTGATTCTTTATCGCTGTTGGTCGACGAATCTCGAGCTCGGTCTAACGTTGTTCGTGCAACTTTCAAAATCTGACTGACACTTGTGCGTGCTTCCGTGAACAAATTATATAGTAACCCCATCGATGACAGTTTCTGCAGATACTACTACAGCCCAAGTTTAAAAGACGTAGGCAGTAGTTAGTTTCTGTAGTAACGTGTTGAACCAGACAACTATAATTAGTATAGGATTGTACAATATTTATGCAGTTATATTTAAGACAATTCGATGAAATGAAGCTTATATTACCTGACGTATGTTTATTGGAATATACATATATACATATAAATTATAATGATATAAAAGTTTGAAATACAATACGATGCGCTGGGGTACAATACGTGTATTCGATTCAATTGTTCCCTTGCAACTACAACATCATGCTATCCGCGTTCGGCGCAGTGCGCTAATACGGAGGCCAACGAAATATCACTGTAACACTTAAAAAAGGTTTAAAGTTCCATTTACATCATTGTCCTGTGAAAATGTTCATACTTCCAGCAGCATTCAT